TTATTATACTCTCTAAAATGTATTTATAGAAATTTCATACTATAATATTATATATTTCAGTATAAAAAAAAAAATAAAAAAATTTAATCAAAGTTCCTAAATTGAAAAAACTCGGGAAAAATTTAAAATTGGTATTTTGTCATTTAAAGTAGGTCACAAGGAAAAAGTTTCATATTTAATATTTTTTCTTGCTTTTTTAGGGTGTAAAAAAGAAGAAAATTCATGTAGAAATAGCATGCTCCCCCCCCCAAAAAAAAACGTTTAATTTTTGTTTGGCCGCCTAATTTGCGTTTATTTGTCGAGTTGCTCATATCGTCGCTTTGAAACTAACCGTAGTAAATTGAAAAATGAGATATTTGGGTCATTTTGTGTAAGAAAAAATCACCCTTTTAGAGAAACAAAGTGTTATCTTCATAGTTCCATAAAATTAATTTAGAGAGCAGATAAATCGTTATCGCATTGGAGCGATTAGCATTAGCGCGGAAAGTTAGAAATTGCTCTCCTGAATTTGAGTTACCATGGTTTAGTTTCAAAGCGACGATAAGAGCAATTCTACAAATAAACGCCAATTTTTATACTAAAATATAATATTATAGTATGAAATCTCTATAAATACATTTTAGAGAGTATAATAATATTATATTTATGTAAAACTCGTTTTATCTGAATAAATGGCTCAGATTTATCTGAGTATGTCAGAAAGAGTATGTCACATTTAAAGTATGTCACAAAGAAAAATTTTCATGTTCACGATTTTTTCGTACCTTTTTAGGGTGTAAAAAAGAAGAAAATTCATGTAGAAATAGTGTGCCCCCCAAAATTTTTTGAATTTTTTTTTGGCCGCCTAATTGGCGTTTACTTATAGAATTGCTCATATAGCTGCAGGTTTCATATCAAATCTATTTTAATTCATTCATGTTTCAGATCAAAATTTGGTTTATATATTTTAGTATTACATCATTTTTTTTAATTTACGTAACATTCATTTATATAATGCAATATTGATTCAATTTGCTTACAATATAATTCAAAATTACACCTCTATCGTAACATTTGAAGTTCAGAAATATTCACAAAACTAAAGAAAATGTAAGAATATTTAACTAAATAAAAATGCAAATTTAATTCGACGAAGATCAAGCAACGACTGCTATAAAGCCAAGGTCCACATGCACGTTGACTCGTTTAACACTAGAACTACAGATGTTCATACCTAGTTTTACTCCACCTGTCTAAGTGATGGATTTTTGATTTGCAATCGCAACGCTCGAATACGCCATCTGGAGAGAAGACCGGTTCCATGCTTGGACTCTTTCCCCTACCCTCTCCTTCTCTTCTCAGTTGTATAGGAATGTGTACTTACGATAATTTCCCATTTCTTAATATTTTTCATATTTGTCAAAAATAAGTCCATAGCGTTCCATAATTTTTAAATGTCCATAACGTTTTCAGTAAGAACTACGTTCAAAGTAGTTTTCATTTCTATATAGTTTCCTAACTTGAAAGATTTTTTAATCTTTTGAAAATCAAGATAAAAAACGAATGTTCTTCCTTCTTCTATGACCCTTCATACGCTAGAGGTGAAAGCATGCGAAGAGTTGCCACAGGTAGAGAGTTCTGCTTTACACCGCCTGTGGCCCATTTTGATTGCCACTAACCTTTTTTGGGTAAAACTTTGGAGCCAGTTTCAGTAAATAGAATATTTTTACTTACAAAAACAAAGTTTACCAATTCAATATTTAATTATTAATTTCAAACAAAGAAAGAATCCATTTGTATTCATAATAAAGTATATTTGTGAAATGTCTATGAGTCACATATTTTGCCAATACTCTCAGGCAATACTCTATTGTCAACTGACTGCAGACCATTGCATTGCTTACAGCAGTAAGTAGCTCTCTATTTATTGTACAATTTAACCTGGCCAAATTTTCTTTCTCAGTCCGATGGTTCTCACGCGAGGTCGAGCACTTTCTGGTAGGTAGAATAGTTTAACGAGGACTGATGTCGTGCATTCTGAGATCTCTTCGCAGTCTTCACAGATTGGGAAATGATTTCAGCACACTAATGTATTAAACCGGCAATCAGACACAAAACCGTAGCAGCGAAATCGGGCACAAAATAGTACTTTCTCTGAATAAACGTAACTTTTTTTCCCCCGACGCATTCGGATTTCTGACCTCTGATATGTAGGGGATAGACGCAATCTGGGGAATATGCTCCCCATAGTTTGGTCAGGAGAGTGCTCCAAAGTTTAGGCCCCTTAATGTTAACTCTACTTTTTGCGTATTTTGCCATATGTCGAGAAAGTTTTGCACACATTTGTAAAATTAATTTATCCAAAGATAATACCATGCAAAATATAATTTTTAGCAAATATTTACCATTTTTTATTACTTTATTTAACATTATTTTATTTTTTAAAACATTTTAAATTGTAAGGAATATAATTTTTTGCATAGTTTATAATTTCACATAGTAAAATACGAAATTTGAGTGAAATCGTTCGAATAGTTCCTGAGAAAGCAAATTTCAAAAGAGTCGTATTTTAAAAATTCGACATCCAGAGGAACTATTTGACCGATTTTGCTAAAATGTTTTTTTTTTTTGCTATAGAAAATTACATTTTTTAAATTGATGCAAAAAATTTTATTCCTTACGATTCAAAATTTTATAAAATAAAAAATTATAAATATTTACCAAAATTAATTTTCTGCATGGAATTATCTTTGGTGAGATGAATTATATGATTCTGTGCAAATTTTTTTTAATTCGCTTTAAAATTTTTCGAGACATGGTGAAATACGCAAAAAGTAAAATTGACATTAAGGTGTCCAAACGGCATATTTCAAAGACTGCTGCTACCCCCTATACTTTAGGGGTCAGAAATCTGATTTCGTCGAAAAAAAAGCATGTTTATTGAGAGAATATACGTTTTTTTTTGTCTGGTTTCGTAGTTTAAAATATTGTCTGCACTTATTAATTTGCATATTTGAGGTCACTCCCTTGAGTCCTAGAAAGTGAAAATCCGATCACTAGATTAAAAGTTATTCAAGGTGATTCGTTTTTCTTTCGCACTATACATGCGTCATAGTTAATTTGTAATTTACAATCGTTTTAAAATTTCAAAATACTAATGCAAAAAAAAAAAAAAAAAAAAAAAAAAAAAAAAAAAAAAAAAAAAAAAAAACATATACCTAGATTAGAAAACGTAAGTCTGTGTTAAGAACTATAATAAGATAATATAATTGAAACTACCTTGTGAAAAAAGATAATTAATCAAATATTGGCGTTTTGCGACAATAGTAAGTAAAAAATCCGATTTAAAAACGACTACTGATGACGATCGAATGATGAGGATTTCAATTCCAAAATTGCCTTATAAATGCTAATAAGCAATTGGAAATATTTGCATCTCCTGATTAAAAATTGATATACTATTGTAGTGTATCTACCAGTACAAAATTCGGTCCGGGTCACGAATGTGGGACGAGAGTAGATATCGACCATGTCAACTGTCATCTATGAAAAGGTACCCCAAAACAGAATCGAGTTAACATGTCTTATATACTAGTGAATTGAAATTATAATTTTGTAGTGATAGATACACTACACTATTATTAATATAAAATTGTCGCGGAGTGTTTGTAACCTATAGCCAATTTTTATATACTTATCCCCAGACCGCTTTATGGTTTTGCAGTGAACAGGGCCATCAGTTGATCAGCTTTAAAACTTAAAAGAATAATTAAGTTTATAATCTACGACGACGAACGTAACAAATCTATACATTTCTATTTCCATTTGTTTTTCTTCGATTTTTAAATTTGTACCAATGCTATATTATGATTTTACATCAATAAAATACATTTTGATAATTCGTAAAAAAGTTTCAGTTTCTGACACAACAACGTAAATGGATATTATTACAAATTTATTCTAAGTCATTTACAAAATTCAATAAAGTAAAACAAAAACATGCAAAAAAGTTTTTTTTTAAGTATTTCAATTTAGAGAAAATATGAATCAAGTAAGTGTCAATGTGTTGAAAAACATACTGCGATGCGATAGAAAATTCAACATAAGCGATAAAAAAATTCACAATTAAATTTTTTATATATTTGGCATTTCTGTATAACTACATATTGCAATAAAAATTCAAAAATAAATTTTGTTTTATCAGTTTTTTGAAATTCTGTTTTAGCGTTCATAGCATTATAGAAAGAAAATAGTTATCAAGTCACGTGTCTCGAAATCCATCGTGAAGCACTTACGCTGTATTTTCAATTGCACCAATAACATAACGTAAAAAAACTAGTAAACACATTCCATAAATACATCAAAAGTTATCTAGGGAGAAAAAATAGAAATATGATAAAATATAAATGTGATCTCGTAAAATAAATTTGCTGACATGTGATTATACCCTGGCAAGCATATTTTTTAAGCTAACTTAAATAAAATTTCGCACTTTTAAAATCAGCGATCAAGAGCTCTGATGGTTACAGTTATAGTTTTCAAACTGAGACACTTTTTTTTCCTCAGCGAAACACGGTTTTCACAATGAAAGAACTGTTTGCGCATGCGCAAATTGATCTTTCGTGAGATCGCATATGCGAATTGCATGCTGCAGTGAGCATGGTACTTATTAATGTGCTCTAACTTCAAAAGGAGGGAAGAAAATAACACGGCGATTTGTATGCTGCATCTTACTGTGTTACGTAATCTCCTTTTTAAGTTTTCAATGTGAAGACTAAGATACGATGAAAAATGTAAAATGCCATTGTTGTGTTGCCTTCTAAAAATTTCGAAATTTTCTTTCTGTTTCCGTCAGAGCTGGATGATCGTTTATAACACTATTCTTGCATGATACCATATTAAACTTTTAAAAATTTCCGTTGTCTGGTTTGGGATGTTAGCCAAGGGATTACCAAGCGGTTATTTTATAACCACTAGGTTACTTGGATCATGGCTGTGTTCAATAGTGAATCTTTTTCTCCCCATGGACTTTATTTCTATACATTTGAGTGCGCTACACAGCATTCATTCATATTTTTAAAAATTGCAGCAAGTGTTATTGAAATAGTCGGGATACTTTAGATGTAAGTCCCTCAGCACATACGGACTCACACCTTATTTTTTCTTGTCCGAGGTCAAAAATATGAATCTCGAAAGACGCATTGTTTTTATTATGTGAGATTAACATGATGCATTTGTACTTATAGGCTTATTACAGCAGTTGCATATCACAGTTGAAGTTTGGCTTATTCTGTCGAATTTTCTTTATATCCTGATTGTAAAACTCCTAAAAATAAAATAGAAAGGTCATTTAGGTAATTTTAATATCATATCAGCAAGGCTAAAATGATGTTAAAAATATTTTTCCTTTATAGGGATTTATTTATCTTCTTAAAGTTATTATTTACAGCATTTTTTTTCTTCAGAAATTGCATATTTATTTCGATTATTATTCGATTTATGAATACAAGTTACGATTTATAATTTTAGAAAAAAGTTAATAAAAACATGTTTTGAAAATTTTAAGGGCATTAATTTTCATTTTAAAGTCATTTTGATAATTTATATCATTAGATAATCATCATCCTAGCTCTAGTCACTAGGTATATATTTGTTGTTTTTTGGGAAAGATTTAAACCTATTGAGGCAAAGATTCCGCATGTATTGAACTTAAATTTTATGAAATTAACCGAAAAAAAAATTACGAGAATTTATTTTTCAATTTATTTAAAAGGTAAAAAAATCATAAAATTTTTATAGACTTTTCAAGAAATATGTATTGATGACAGTTGTTGCGAGATAGTTTACCTCTCCCTTGAATCATCATGACAAAGCATATGTCCATAGTAAATAACAAAATTTGTAACTTCGTTAGATTTAAATATATTGTTTTTTGCTGAAATTAATCCAGTTTCTTTCGTCTGTACACACTTAGGATTTACTCTATCAGTCGACGGAAAAAATTAGAAGAGACCTTAGAATAACATAGGTAGGTAGGTATTTTATTTACGTCGCACTAGAGCTGCACAATAGACTATTAGCAACGGTCTGGGAAACATCCATGAGGATGATCCGAAGATATGACTTCGAAATTTTGATCCTCTGCAGAGGAGATGGCTCATTTGCTTTGGTAGCCCGACGACCTGCGAGCGAAGTTGAGCACTTTACGTTAGAACAGTTTAACAAGGACAGATACCGCGCATTCTCGGTCCCTACGCAGGCTGATCAAAGTGGTCATCCGCCCACCAACTGACAGCAGTCAGCGATGTTTGGCTTTGGTGCTCTACTGGGAACCTTGTTTCTACGATTAGTCCACTGAGGGACTTAGAATAAAATAGAAGAGCATGCTCGTTTCCTTTGGAATGTTAATGAATAAGAAAATTTTTAGAATTCTGTATCGTAAGTATTTATAAATATTAGAAGGAGCAACAGTCCTTACAGAACATTTATACAACACAACTTGAACCAAAGAAAAAAATTAGTATTTAGGAAGTCGAAAAACACTTAGATCGAAGTTAAGTATTTACATCAAGAGTTGGATGTCTCCGACAATAAAAAATAAATAAATAAAAACAACTAGATAAGATACCTAGCAAAATCCGGGCACTTCATGATGACATGCTTGAATTCACCGGGAGAGAGCATTCCATCTTTGTCAATGTCTGCTTCATCCATCACTTTGTCGATGACGTCATCGATGTCCTGCTCATCCAAATTATCACTTCCAGTCAGCAAATTTATCAAGTCCTTGAGGTCTCCCCTTGATAAGTAACCATCACCATCTCCGTCTGAAACATGTCACCGATTGTTTTTATTTCTTCTGCAGGTATTTTTACAAGCTAAACATTCAATGCGATCTGCCTTTATCACCCATGATACAAATTTTTTTTTATTCCTTGTTGAATCCGAAATTAGCACATTATGCAAATTAATTGACGTAAATTGAGGTTTGACCCCTTCAGGATAAGTGATGACGCAAATCGCCCTTCATCGACCACGGTATCATACACGAGAAGAGCCTTTAAGAAACCGGTAGCTCACATAGTTTGTCTGAAATAAGAATTCACCCACACATTCGTCTGGACCTGCGGCAGTGACTATGGTAACGAGGTATGACTATTTCAAGTAGGGGGTCACTATTTTGGAGTGGTTTCGACTCGGATCGTTGAGAGTGAATCTCTTTCTTCGGCCAATTAGTATTAGTCCTAGAGTGAAGCTACCCTCCCTAAAATGTGCCATTCTTGTTTCCATGGCACCGGACGGCCTCAGACTTTGTGGTGGGAGGAGTTATTAGCTAAGACAAGCTATAATCATGCTGACGTGTTTTCATTTTGGAATGTTTTATTTTAATTTTTAAATGAGATTAGATCAAAGAATATACACAGGTGAAGTTTAGCTTTCATTGACATAATATAAAATAGTCCCCCAAAGTAAGGTGGGGGAAAGGAAAAAAAACAATTAGGGGCACAACGGCAAAGGTTCTATAAAATGGCTTGTACCTTCCTCTCTAACCAATACTGGGAGAGGGGAAGTGTTGGGATGAAGAAGAAAAGTTTCCTCTTTTTTTATCGTTGGATTGTTCTGTATTTTTGCACGATTGGCAAACAGTACCGTACTGTTAATTAAGGCATAGGAGACAAATGCAATCTGGAAAATGTGGTCGCAATAGCAGATCAGTCGAAAGTTTAGACACTTTTAATGTTTATTTCAATTGTAGGGTATACTAATTTTTACATCACTTCAAAGAATATATGGTATAATACAACATTTGAATGAAATCGGTCCAATAGTTTTCGAGAGATTATGGACACTTTTAATGTTTATTTTCTTTTTTGTGTATTTCACCTTATCTTCAGAACATTTTAAACAAATCGAAACATTTTTAAGATATAAAATTCGTTCATCCAAATTCTATGCAAAAAAAAAAAATTTAGTAATTTTTTTTAAACATTTAATTTATTAATGATCCAAAAATTTCAATTGTAAGGTATACAAGTTTTTACATCTGAGGAGACACGTGGAAGTTAACGCGACTCCTAAAATAAAACATAATATTCAAATAGAGAGATGATCTAAAATGAATAATTAAGTTGATTAAGAATAGAAACAATTAACAGAATGCCAGCCATAATTAAATAATAATAAATTTAATAAAAGGATAACAATTAAGGTTACAAGTTAAGTTCTAGATTAAACATCGTGGCGGACAGGTTGTCCCAGTAACATACACAGGCGTCGTCACAGACNACCATATCTGTAAAACTTAAGCAAATCGAATTTTTTTTTAAATATAAAATTCGTTCATCCAAAGATAATTCGATTAAAAAAAATATTTCTAATAATTATTTACTATTTTTTTTAAACATTTTTCTTATTAATGATCTGAAAATTTCAATTGTGAGGTATACAAATTTTTACATCATTTCAAAGAATGTAACTTTATATGACAAAATACAAAATTTGAAGGAAATCGGACGTTCGTGAAAGATTAAATTTTTAATGTTAAGACTTTCTTAAAACTTGATAACACAGAAGCTATTCGACTGATTGCGCTCACACTTCATATTTTACCATTTAAAAATCTGAAATTATTTGACCAAATTTTCGACGATTCTACGTTCATTACACTTCCCAAAGTATGAGACCGTAAGCCCACTATGTGGATAATTAGTGAGAGAAGATCAATAAGTTACCATAGATACTGAAAGCATATTCTGCCTTCTTATCGGCTGGAGAATCAGTATTGAATACAGGAGCCATATCCAGGAAATCTTCAAAAGACCAGGTATCATCGTTGGTGGAGGAGAACAGTTCGCAAATCCTCTCCTTGAACGGATTGTTCTACAACAACAATCATTCATTGATATCAAAATATAGTATTTATTGCTTAAATAAGAGACGAAAAGTATTACGTAAACACCACTCTTAATATGCAGAGTGTCCAGCAGATCACTGGCTGATTTCAAAATTAAAAACCGCGAAAATGAAGGAAGAAGAATGAAACAAACGGTATGTTTATTGTGAAATGTCTGAAAATTCAATGCAGGAATTTTCGAATTTAATTAAAAAGGTTGCCGATAGATGGTGCTTCAAGGCATTGATGGCCAGATTGATCAGTTACAGCATTAAACCGTGAAAGGAGTTTGTCCTACAGTTTACTAGGAAGGTTTAAGTTATGAATTCCATTCAACAACATGTGTTTCTGGTACTGGAATATCAAAGTTTGATTTCAGTTTTACGGTATTTGTATTATTTTAACTCTGCACAGCGCCTTCTGTTGGCAAAATTTGTAATTAATTTCTAAAATGTTTGTATAAAATTTTACTAGCTTTCACAAGGCGTTTGAATCATTCCTACATCATCATTTTTTTCCGTGAAATATTTAATTTTGAAATGAGTCATTCATTCGACGGATGTATATTTTTAGAATTCTTGCCAAAATTGAAGAAAAAAAGCATACTTAAGGTTCTCAAATTAATATTTAAGCGAGGAAAAACAAAACCGATATCGAAATCCTTTACATCACAAGCGTTGAAGGTGGGATGAAAACATAAAAACTAGATGGATTGTTAAAGGAGAATTAAAGGCCTAAAGAGTTTCTATTTCTCTATTGTTTCCTCCGGCAATCAAACATGTTTTAGAGTTTTCAGTACTTTCTTCCTCAGTATGATTCGCCATCGCATTTGTTTTTTCTTTGCTTAAATATTAATTCGCGGCCCCTCATGCACGTACTTTTTGTACTTCCTTCTTGAAAAGAATTCTAAAAATGTATATTTAGAGCATTTGTTTCGAAAAGCAAAAAGTTAGAAAAACATTTTCCACCTTTAATATTTATTATTATTATTTTATTATTTCAACTATTATTTATTTTGATACAACATTTGGACAAAATGAAATTCGCAGAAAAAATTAAAATATATGTACCTTTTTTGATTACACACTGTTTCAAACTTATTTCTTTTTCAAAAATAAAGCTATTAAATAGTATTGTTTCAATACAACAACAACAAAAAATCTCAAACGCATGAAGATTATTTCGCAAATAGGTATACTATTCGAAAAAAGTAATTTTTAATTTGTCTATTCTTCAAAAAAGGGACAAAGTAAGGGGACTTAAAAAAAAAAAAGAATTCTAAAAACATTATCAAACAGCAGCGGTAGCCATAGCAACGCATGCGATGACGACGCATCCGCACACAGTTGAAAAGTGTGATGACCATGTGTGATGACCATCAAATCCAAAACAACACTCATTTTGCCAATGGGTAATAAAAACACTGATCGTGGATATTCAAAATACATAGTCACTTCTGAAATATAACTAAGAGTTAGGAACAGGAAGAGAAAATGTGCTCGCATAGAAATAAAGAATAAAAGAAACGAATTTCACGCGATAAAATGCTACCGACGGGGGAAAAAAAAGACAACGGCACAGCTGTCAGTGCAGGGTTATTAAAAAGGGTGCACAACGTGAAAGAAAAATGAGTTTTCATGGTTGAGCAATGTTGAGTGATTTCTTGGTCGTCATTCCAAGTTTAGGTCCCCCGATTGAACACCTAAATGCCTAAGGAGCTTTTATTTTTATTTTTTTAAAATTTATGCTAATTAAGCCCATAACCAAGCACACCTTAGCAGAGGAAATTATGAATCAACAAAATTCATCTGCATTTATTCAAAATGATCATCGAAAATTTCGATAAAAAAGTACATGTGCGCCAGCAAAACAGGAAACGTCGTTTGGATAGTATGCTATTCCAAATGTTCCCATTCTAGTTTGGACCACCCCCCTTTCATTAATGAAAAAGCTCTGTCAAAATATATGGTACTTTATTTACGTCACACTAGAGCTGCTCAATGGACTGTTGGCGACTGTCTGGAAAACATCCCTGAGGATGATCCAAAGACATGCCATCGAAATTTTGATTCTCTGCTGGGGGGATAGCTCCCCTTCTTTGGTAGCCCAGCGATCTGCAAGCGAAGGTCAAAAATATGTACTATATTTATAAAGATGGCAGGACAGGTGGCCGAGTGGTTAGCTAGTCTGACTGCAAAGTTGCTCTCTGTGTATTGTCCTCTGTTGTGATGCGATGTGTGAATGTGGCCCACCCTACAATCGGATTTCTGTGGCAGTGTGACGTAGGTAATGTTGCTCGCTTTAGTGACAGGTGCCCACAGGGTAACGCTAAAGAGCAAAATTTTAATATATCGATGCCCTCAGATTTTTTTAGGCTTGCAGAGAAATAAAGAATACTTCAATGATTGAAAAATGTGCTAGTATCGCAAAGCAGTGTGTTATTAGTCACTTTATTCACTTACGTTACATACAGAATGGTCTGAACCTTTAAATAATTATCAGAAGTTTATAACATTTTTGTAATGATGTGCTATGAAAAACATATGTCACAGTTTCTTTTTAACATTAGCTATAATTTTGAGCTTTGAGTGTTGGGATAGAGAGATTAAACCAAAATATTGAAAAAGGGCCAAGATAGCCAGTTTGGTAGGGCACTGGGCCTACCAAATAAGTAGGACCCATGTCCAAGAGCTCGTGGGTTCGATCCCCACCGACCGAAGACTCCCCTTGTAGAAAATTGAGACTGATGCACGTTAAATCTGCCGAGTCACTAAGTCCTCCATGTTCCCATAACAAATCAATATCTCTGGGGGTACTGATCCACGAGTTTCCTTGTCTTCTGTATTGGTTCAAAAATTACAAGGTTGCGGAGTTCAACATTAGTAGTTATAAACCCAAAATTGGGTCGGCTGTTCAACGACGGATATAAAAAAAATATTGAATAAATTATGTTATTTTGACTCAACCAAATGCCTTTCAAATTAATAGAATAAATAATTTGAATGGTTTACACAATGCACTTTGCTAAGTTAAATTTTTTTTTTTATCTTTCCTTTTTCGTTTGAAGGAAATAAACTTGACTTCTCTTCATTTATACAATTGTGACAGATATTTATTAGCTTCCTGTCTATTACTTTTAATTTAAACTATTAGATTACTTTAAACAGCAATAAAAATAATAAATGGCTTTTAAATTTACTACAAAACCTCAGGCGGAAGAAAGAATAAAAAGGGGTAGAAGAATAAAGGAACGTACCTGAAACTCTGGCATTCTCTTTATGAGATCCACTGGTATCCTTGCATTCTTATCTTTGTTCAATATTCTTGGCTGTAGATTTTTAAACCTTTTAAATGCACTGAAATAAAAATAAAAAACAAACTAAAACATTGTAATATTTTTGCAATATGTTAAAAAATAAGCTTTATATTAGCTTTAAAAATAATAACAAGCACAAAAAAATGTACAAATATAAAGAATTTTTCTGTAAAATATATCTATTAAATCAAGCAAATTCCATTGTATCTAATGCAACTTATATTTGTCTAGGAAGATCATAAAAGTTGATGTTCCCCAATTTCGTAACCATAGGACTGATAATGGCAATATGGGCAGCATTTCACCAACACTTCCTAGAAGTAGAAGGGCCTCAGCACGGATCAATTTAGTAGTCCGATGTGACGAAGTTAACTGCGCAGTAGACGAAAAATAAGAAAGATGTCATTACGTTAGGGGTACTAAGCTGCGCAGTGGTTGAAAATACAAAATATGTCATTACGTTTGGACTACTAAGGGATATTTATGGTAACCCGTGCTGAGGCCTGTTCTTTCTAGGAGGTGTTGGACTAATTCGAGTTGACTACTTGGGGAAAATATTTTGAACCGAAATATTTGACTTTTTTGACAGCTTTCTTTGTTCCTGCTGCATGTTTGCTGTTGATTCCAGCTGTAGGTTGCAGGCCAGCAGCCATCATTGCTCTGTTCACTCTTGCAAACGCGTTCAGCACCTTCAAGTACTCTGGTTACCTCATAACCAACATGGACATGGCACCTAAATACGCCGGTAAGTACTTTTGAAACAGCCTTCAAAATACCAATGTTCTTAACTAGAACATAACACCTGCAATATTCTTAATCCTTCAAACCGGATCTTCAAAATTGGGCCAACACTTTTACCATTCAAAATCTTTCGAAACATTTATTGCTGAAAGAAAAATGGTTCACACGNGTTTTTTATTTTCGAACGGCCCATACTTTAAAAAAAAACAGCTCTCGAGTTATGTGACAGACCTATTTAAAGTAACACGTTATTTTTCAAATAGATAGATAACAGATACAAGATAACAGTTACAGAAAATACTGGTCATTTTTATTTTTAACCTTCGGTTTTATTGATTAAATATGCTCAAAAGTTAATAAGTTTTGTGTCGAATCGATACGATAAATCTTTAACAACATTTTTATTACATATCTTATTTTGCATTACATACATATTTTATCAGATTCGATTACGCTACTGAAAAATCCATACCAGTAGCAAAAAAAAAAGTTTGGTAAACTGTATACCTTTAAGATAATTCCCAGATTTAATTTTTCTCTATTTGAAGGAATAGTTGTTAATGCACATAATTGTGGCTCAACTTGCAAAAGTTGTTACTTATTTTAGATAATACAATGATTTATTTGTTGTTCTGTTTGAAGCAGGAGTAGCTCAATTAAGATAATTACACAGATTTAATTATCTTGTAATTATTCATAATTTTATTTGCTCCAATTAGACAATGCGCATATTCAATTATTATTTAAATTCAAGAAAACACAGATAACAATTTTTTTTTCTGAACTTGAAGTGGTTGTTGTTTAGTTAAAGTAATTCATACATTTATCTGTTGTAAATTTAAATAAATGATGAACAAACAATAAGATACTGATACAGAAATATAAAAAAAATTGAACTTACTATTGTATTTCACTCTCCGTCAGATATGTTAATTCCTAAAACAGAAAAAAAAGGAAGGATAAATTATTTTTCATTAGCATTGTTTAAAAGAATGAGCATTCAAATGTTTCGTAACAATGACATGAAAGAAAGAGAATGATTTAAGCCATTAGAAGAAGTAACACTTTATTTATTTTTTTAAAACTAAGTGGCGAAAGGGATATCTAAAATTTAATAGCAATATTTATGCTCTAAAGCTCATAAAATTATTTTAAAGTTACCGTGGAACTCTGAAAAAAAAGATTTAAATCATGTCATAAAAACAACACTGACAAGCAAAGGAAAAATAACGTGTACATGAACTAACGTGTTGACTGAGAAACTAAAAGTGTTTTTAAGACATTTGGGGAAAAAAGAGAGAGAGAGAGAGTGCTTACTTTATAATATTGCAATTCAGATTTTGTCAACTGGCTTTTACTGTTACCCATTCCATAAAATTTCTGAAAAACCTGAAAGAAATTAAAATAACAAAAATTAAAATTATAAATGAGAAAATAATAAATTTAAATAAATATAATTTGGATTATTAGCGTGCGATTCTATTCAAATAGTGCTTACGAATTCATTTATTCATTTTATGTTCTGTTCATTCATATTGTATGTTGATAGGCAAGAATTTTCGCAAACTTTTAATGAAATTCATGAATAACTTCTCATGAAATATTCATTAAATTTTCGGTAAGATACATATAGTATATTTGGGAGAAATTTAACGAAGGAAACAATGATTCAAATAAACAATATTTTAGTCATAAAAAAATTCAATTGAGAGAGAGAAACGATTAATCTTAAACGCTCACTTTATACTTTAGTAAATAATGTAATGCAGTGAACATTTACTTAGATTTTAGTCATTTGGAACTTGTTGAGAGATTTAGAAGAAGAAAAAATTATCAAACAGCAGCTGTCGCCACAGCAACGCATGCAATGACGACGCATGCGCACTGTTTACTATTATTCTTGAACACAATTGAAAAGGGTGATGACGTCCATATAAAGTGCGAACGCCATCAAACCCAAAACAACACCCATTTTGCAAATGGGTGTTGTGACACCCATTTAATGACATAAAAACTAATGGACGAAGAACTTTATTTAAATTAAGTTCAGTCAACTTCACAAACTAAAGAGTTAACAGACAAAACGAAGATTTGAGTGGCTTCTGCAGCCAATATAATTTTTCACATTTCACCGCAACGGAATCTTCTAATTAAAGTACTAATGAAGAAGGAAGAAAGTACAACCGTCATAATCTGAAAAAGCACACCAAGTTTGAGTTTTAAACACATAATCATGTTATGCATTGCACAGAGCACAGGGGTTCGTGTCGATTGGAGGTGAATAAAACAGTCCTTAAGACTCCAAAAATTTATTATCAGGTATTTCTAGAAAATACAGCAATTTTAGAACACATAATTTTTATAAAATTATACCCCTTGTACATAAATAAGGAGTCTCAAGGTTACGTGGCTTCCCTACTCTCCACCCCCCCCCTTCGTTACCATGGTTTCGGCAAAAACTTGATTTGACGAAACCATAGGTACGGAAGGTAGAGTTCGGATATCGCGTAACCTTCAGACGCTTATTTTATTTACAAAGAGTATAATGCTTATTTTATTTACAAAGACTAAAATAGTTAATAACTATTTAATTCCAAGGCCAAAGGGACTTTTTTTTTATCGTGGCATCGTGTTTGTATCATGTGACGTAAAATATCCGGATCATGGGTTGGAGTCCCCTTGCCTTCAAGCTACTCGTTTGAGGTTTTCGTGGTTTGTCTCTCTATGTAAAGCAAATGCAAGATAGTTCCATCAAAAAGTCCTCCACGAAGATAAGTTTCTCTCTATACTTGAACCAGGAGTTCCCTTGTCTTCTGTATTGGGTTAATAATTACAAGGCTACGGAGTTGAGCATTGGTAGTCGTAAACCAAAAATTGGGTCAACTGTTTAACGACGGTTATAATATTATTAATATAATATTATTAGTCGATGAGTGGATTAGAGTCCTACGTAGATATTCACCTTCAACAAGACAGATGGCATTGGAAAAAGCTGAAGGTCTCCACTCACAACATGGCTTGGGTGACTGTTAAGAAGATTTAAAAACATCGAAAGTGACTAACTGGGGAAAAAAACAAGCATCTGACTAACTCGTTATAGTTTGTCTGAAGTAAGAACTCCTCTAGTCATTCGTCTGGACTTGTGACGGTGACTATAGTAACGAGGTATAACTATTTCAAGTAGGGATGTGGGGTCATTGTTTGGAACAGGCTTTGGCTCGTGTCCGCGAAAGAAAGATTATCTTTTCCTTCTGTCTACTGTATTAGCCCTAGAGTGAAGAGAAGCTACCCTCCCAGAAATGCGCTATTCTTGTTTCCATAGCAGCAGACTGCCTTCAGACTCTGACGGGAGGAGTTCTTAGAGTAGACAAACTATAGAACGGCCTTGGCTTGCTCTGAACTATCTGGACTTGCTCCAAAAAGAAATATTAAAGCGTTCAAAAGAAGTGATGAGGGCCGGAATAGCCTGGTTGGTAGTGCATTGGGCCCATGTCCAAGAGGTCGTGGGTTCTATCCCCGCCTGCCGAAGATACCCCGTGTAGTAAATGGTGACTGATGCACGTTAAATCTGTCGAGTCACAAACGGCCTCCATGTTCCCATAACAAGTCATATCTCTGGGGGTAACCGGGTTCAAATCCCAGTTATAGCTGGTCTATACGAAATCCGCATGCGGCTTGCGCCGATCACAGAGCTGACGTAAAATATCCTCAGTGACGTAAAATATCCGGAACATGGGTTAGAGTCCCCTTGCCTTCAGGCTACCAGTGGGAGATTTTTCTTCGTGTTTTTCCTCTCCATGTAACGCAAATGTTGGCAAAAAATCACCTACGAAAGCAAATTTTTCCCAATACTTGATACAGGAGTTCCCTTGTTTTCTGAATTGTATTCAAAATTACAAGACTGCGGAGTTGAACATTAGTAGTCGTAAACCCAAAATTGGGCCGGCTGTTCAACGACGGTGATGAAATAAACAAAACGTTCGAATTTTCGACCACTGTCAGGACTAAAACTATTGGTTTAGCCCAGTGTTTCCCAAACTTATGACTTTTGTGTACCCTTTCCAAATTTTTCGCAACGCTGTGTACCACTACTAAAAAAAATGAATAAATTTTTTACTATAAAAAATTGCACAAAAGTCAAAAATCACAACTGGCTGTTGACACCACTAATTGTTAACTGTTAACTCCGCAAAAAATAGCCAGTAGGAAAATACATAATCGTAAATTGTGTTGGGTAGCCTTGTTATTAAATAAAATGTTTTGAAATTTTCGTTTGTTGCAAGATATTTCGCATAAGAACGCGTATCCCAGCTAAACTGTTGCCGTACCCCTGGGGGTACGCGTACCACACTTTGGAAAACACAGGTTTAGTCAATTTGCCCTCTGCATTTATAGAGGGTCAAAAATTGAAAACCCTCGGAAAGGTATATTATTCAGAGCAAATGCGTTTCTGTGTCTGTTTTCTCAACTTAAAATACCGTCGGCATAAATTAATCAGCATATTTACAATCAATCTCACGAACCATTGGAAAAATCATCGAAGAAAATATTGAAACGAAAAATGATTAAGCTGTTTTATTTTCGATTTTGCACATTGTATGCTTTAAAATAAGGCATGTAAAACGGTCAGAAATAAAGCATAATTTTTGCCTTTATTTATCAAAGCTTTCGAAAGCCGATTTACACATCGAGATTTTTAAGACATAAAAATACAGCCATTAAGATACATTTTCTTTGTATATTTTAAGAGTGCTGAATCAACAATCATTTTGAATCAACGCAACAACGCAATTGAATGAAATCGCTAAGGATTTTCTTTTTTATGTTATGTACTTTAAGCGATAGGCCCTTATCACAAAGCAAAGGACACATTTAGTAGTTATTGCCACACGAAATCGGTGTACACGAGCTGTTGTTTTTGGAAGTGAAATAAGACAACTTTTGGAGAAAAAAATAATAGTTAATAGTAGTTTTAGTAAGATATGAAAATCTTTAAATATGCATCCAATGTAGCACGATTTTGCAAAAGAATTTGAGCTGAAAATTTTATCGCAAAAACACTTTTTTTTTTCGAAAATGGACTAAGTTTCTTTCTAATTACCAAAGTGAAAGTAAAGTCCTATTTGCTTTCTTAAATGACTGCATGCCTCGAAAATGATGCTCGCTGCGTAAAACTCTGATAATAAGTATCGATTCGTGGTCTTCCTCTCCATGTAACCTAAATGAGGGTTAGTTCCATCAAAAAGTCCCCTACGAAGGAAAATTTCTTCCAATACTTGATCCAGGAGTTCCCTTGCCTTTTTTATTAGGCTCAAAATTACAAGGCTACGGAGTTGAACATTAGTAGCCGTAAACCCTAAAATGCGGCGGTAGTTCAACGACGGTTATAAAATAAAATACTTATCACTTACAGCACGCAAATCATTAGAATAATATAGTAATGAAATATAATTATGTATATCTATAATTATATAGTTATGAATATAATTGAAATATAATTTGTGCCAATAGTTATTGACACAAAGGATGTATATTTTTATTTCTTTATTTTATTCATTTTATTATTTTATTCATTTTATTATTTTATTCATTTTATTATTTTATTCATTTTATTCATTTCATTATTTAATTTATTTTATTATTTTATTACTTTATTAATTTTATCATTTTATTCATTTCATTCTTATATTATATAGCTCTTTTTAAGGAGTATTAACGCTTAGAATAATATTTAAGTAGGAATTATAAAAAAGCAGAGCTAATAAAACAGAATGTTTATATGTAATACCTTATAAAAAATTGACAATTCTGAACCAATTCGCATCAAATTTGGCGTAAATACGCTCAAAGACACGGCGGACCTGACTGTCCACTTTAAAACTTTCTCTGACCTCCGGTTCAAGCGTTACATCACGCACTACCGGTCCCCCTAAGATGTGATAAATATTTTATAATATGAGTGATTTTCTAGCTTAAAGCTCCAATCGATTAAAATTATTTATATCGCAACGTTCTTATGAATCATTGGTCTCCTATGTTAGGTTATCACAAGTAAAATCAACGTTAATAATTTGATGTCAACGAATTCGTAATGAAACTCAACAAGGACTAATGAATGGGATACGAGCAAGTGACGTAGTGTGGGTATCTCGATCCTGATTGGTTGTTGAAACGTAGCATTTGTTTACGTTTGCAACCGTTCCTTTCATTCTATTTCAAGTTTTAAGTAAGCCAAGCCCGTTAAGTACCAATTTTCTTAAGTAGCACAGTCTATATTCTTTCCCAAAGATTTCAATTCTTTCACTACGTATTTACGCAAAGACAGGCATGGAGCCATGTAGAACCTACACAAACTTACTATGTATCGATGTAGCCAGGTTCACACACAA